AATGAGCAGAACACGAGCTACAATGAGCAGAACACGAGCTAAAATGAGCAGAACACATGGTAAATCAAAACTCATTCAATTCAGTCACAAATATCTTAAATTAGAGTAAAACATAGTAAAATGGTAAAATTTGCTAAACCGTTGCAAAAACCTGGATGTAGCAGCTAAAAACTAAAATGAGCCAGAATCAGATTTTGATGGAATTGAGGAAATCATAATGTATTCTCTATATATCTTTTAAATATTTTAAACCATATAAAAGAAAAAAGCTAAAACTCATTTCACCCATCACCTCAAAGTTTTAATACCTGAACATTTAAAATAGCGCAATTTGTTCCTAAGTTGTTATTGAATAAGAAAACAAAAACAATGATGTGAATTCTGAATGATCATTTACTAAATAAAATGTGATCAGTAAAATTTATTTGTGATGTAATTTCAAACCAGAAGCAAAACGACAAGATTTGGAAACGAGAGTTAAACGGTTGTGAGGTTCTTAACGGAGTTTAGAAGAAACGATGGAGACCACCTGCTCGGTTTATACATTTAGTTTGTGTCTAAATGTTTCCAGTCTGTTTTAAATGGGGCGGCTGTGGCTGAGTGGTTAGAGCAGTCGTCCTCCAATGCAAGAGCTGTGGGTTCGATTCCACCAGCAGTCACGTGGCGAAGTGTCCCTGGGCAAGACACTGAACCCCTCATGGCCTCCGATGTGTGTCCCTCTGGTGTATGAATGTGATAAAGCTCTGATTAGTCTTTGTAGAGATCTAGTAGAGAGCTGTATGAATGTGTAAATGAGGCACAGATTGTTGTAAAGAGCTTTGAGTGTCTTGACGAGTACAGTCCATTTAAATGGTTGTAAATGGTATTGGTCTCATTTTAGACAATCTGGAACGCATCGTGGAGATTGCCAAACTGAGGGCCATGCAAAAAAAGGCCCGATTTGCGAAGCTCAAGATCTGCGTCTACAAAGAGGAGATGCCCATCACGCCGTACGAGCGTCCTCTTTTTAACTCTCTGCGCTTCGAGCGCTCGGACAGCGAGGCCAAGCTCTTCGAGCACCACTGCGAGGTGGACGTTTCCTTCGGGCCGTGGGAGGCGGTGGCGGACGTCTACGACCTGCTGCACTGCATCGTCAGCGACCTGGCCGAGCGCGGCATCGCTGCCGAGCAGCAGTGCATCGGCGTCTGTGACAAGCACCTCATTAACCATTACTACTGCAAGAGGCCCATCTACGAGTTTAAAATCACGTGGTGGTGAGGCTTCGAAACTCTTCGGACCGCAGCACTGAACGGATGGTTCACTTTTAACAGAACTTTAAAAGTTGACACTGACTTTTGTATTAAACTTGCCAATATTTTGTGCTGATGTCTTCAAATGTGACCCTTTAAATAAGTAGTTTCAGTTTTCACGTAGTACAATTTTATGGTTTTATCAAAGGAACGCAACAAGAAAGAGAGTTGACGTATTTCCAGGAGAAGCTACCGACCCTGAACCTCTTGTTCCTGTTGGCGTGTGCGGCGCCACATACCTCATGACATCGCTGCTGAGTGGTCACAGGCTCTAACCTCCAGCCACAGCTATAGAAAATCCTAATGTACAGAGTTTAGTTGAACTCTGACGTTTTTCTACAAATCTATGAGCTTTCACGTGTTTTATTTTTGTAGCTAACGTCTCATTTCATCTGCGACCTCTAATATATCGGCACAAAAAGCCAAGTACTCGCAGTAAAGGTAGGCTCTCACTGGGCTTACTATGCGCTGTAAAGGTAGTAACTTGACTTTGTCTAGACTTATACCAGCTGGAATTCCAGTTGAATATTTTGAAAGAGGAATTCCCAAGTTAATATATGAAGGGATTTCCCGGCAGAGATAAATGGTTAATTTCTAAGGAAAAAAATTGTTAACGGACAAAGGAATATCGCTGAGGACGTACCTGTAGGAGACATTGATCCAAAGGAAGATTAGGAAGGTTTTATGTTATTTTAGTTATCGGGATTGTACTTGTGTTTTTATGGGCTCAGATTTTGAGCCTCTGCGATTCACACGACACCCTCACATTTTGGAGACCCGCTCCCAAATGCCATTCACCAACTGGCGGCCAAAAATGCGTATTAAAAACTACTTTTAATTCATTGGCGAGCACAAATAAGTTTTTCTTTCTTTAATTATACAAAACTAACAATTTAAAAGGAGTTGTGTTTTGAGGAGTGACGTACCTTCCTCAAATTTAATCTGACGGAAATCATTTCAAGCGTCAAGGGCCAAAAAAAGTGTGCTGCGTTTGGAGTTTTGCAGACACGGGCCGTCAAGCTCAGAAAAGAAATATTCATAAAATCTCCTCTTTAAGCCTGACTGACAGGTAGGAAGCCTGCTGTGCATCTGACCAGCTGGTAGGCTTCACTTTTAATTAATTCACACGTCTGCGCACGATTTAAGACGAGCAGCAGGACAAATACTTTTAGACTTTTATAAATGAAGTCAAAATAATCTTTGCCCAGTGCCCAGCTATGCAAATGCAGACTAACTGAAAGACGCCTCGAAGAAAACTGAAGATTGCCTGTTCCGTCGGTGGCCGTGCATCGAACTGACTCGTCATCTGAATTTGTGCACACTTATATTCCTCGAGGATCGTTTAAGTTGAAAAGCTCAAAAATGTGATTTCTTCAGGCTTGGGTGTGTAACTTTCCATCTGAGCAACCAGCAGCAGTTTAGCTGATTTCATTAGGACGCCAACAAGGGGCTGAAATCGCCTCAGATTGTGTTATCGTAAGAGGATCACATGACTCTATCAAATTTACCAGCCTGTTAAGCTAAGTACCCTGTAAAATCCCAAATGTTTTTTTTTTTTTACTTCATTCATCCATTTATTCATTCACTCATCAGCCTGACTGTAGCTTTGCCTGATCAGTTGGAAGTTTCACCATGGTGTTTCAATGTAATGGAGTATATTTTTTATTATTTGGGCTTTTAAAGCAGTAATATATGTCAAAATTCAGTTTGTTCAGACATCTATGCTTCAACACTATCTCTACATCATTAACTGTTTGAAGGTTAATGTAACTCAAAGTCATCATGGTTTTTGTAAAAATTCTGTCAGAAAGCATCAAATATTCCTCGCCTTTCTTTATGACTACATTCAGTTGCGATCAGATTCAGAAATTGTCCCATTACAGTTCATAATAGCTCCGTAGAGCTCATTTGCATCTGATATCCAACTTTAGCTTTAAAAAGATCTCCGACTACTTGCACATATTGGCCTTAATATGTTGTTGTTTATCTGCTCTACTACAAGTTGTTGTTTCTGACTAGTGAAAACTCCCAATTACTTAAAAAAATTGTATGTTTCTTACATTTTTCACTTGTGAACGTCATCATTATTTTACCAGCATAGTGCATTCTGGGGCTTCGGTTGTAGTGGAGACTAAAATACAAGTAGTCAGGGTTTAATACCGGTAATTATAACATGACAGTACACTTATAACAATAATAATAATCATAATAATATATTTTTAGTATTATTATTTTATATTAGTCCTTACATGAGTTAAAATGATAAAGCAGGATCACCTTGTGATGTTTAATTTATTAGCTCTGTAGCTAACGCTATTAGCTACAGAGCTAACATCATAGGGCCTATATTATCTCAGGATGGAATGCTATTAGCTCTGAGGCTATACTGTAATATATTAGCTCTGGAGCTAATTCAGTTAGCTTCAGGGCTAACATACATATTAACTCGGAATGTACTGCTATTAGCTTGAGGCTAATGATGTATTTATTAGCTCTGGAGCTAACAGTATTAGCCCCAGAACTAATAAATGCATAATTAGCCTTGAGCTAATCTTATTTCATCCAGAGCTAATATATGACGTTAGCCCTGACACTAATTTATTAGTTCAGGAGCTAACCCAATTAGCTTCAGGGCTAATGTCATATGTATTAGCTCTGACTGGAATGGTATTAGCTCTGATGCGTATTATCTCCAGAGCTAACTTCACATAATATATTAACTCTCGATGGAATGCTATTAGCTCTGGAACTAATGCTATTAGCTCTGGAGCTAATGGCATTAGTTCCAGAGCTAACGTAATAACTACATATAATGTGTAGTTATTACGTTAGCTCTGGTGCTAATATATGTCGTTAGCAATGGAGATAATAAATTTATGTCGTTAGCACTGGAGATAATATGTCGTATTATCTCCAGTGCTAACGACATATATTAGCTCCAGAGCTAACGACATATAAATTAGCTCTGGATGGAATGCTATTAGTTTTGAGGCTAACGCAAAAGCTGAATCATTTCTCCATTCTCTTTGTCAACAAGCTGCAGCTTATATTAAAAAGCTGAATTTCAGATAATGTCCAAAATTAACATTCAAGCTGAATGGAGCTCCCGCCAAAGCAACCACTCTATATCGTTTACCCAGAATGCATTGCAGCATAAACAAAATGGTGACGTCCGTGTGCCAAGTTTTTTCTTAAATTATTATTACAAACGCTAAACCGCATGCAGTATTTTTAGTATTATTATTATTTTTTTATATAGCTGAAGTAATTGTTTGTCAAATAAGTTCTATTGTTCCAACTAGTTGGAGATCCTTTTAACACTCCCCACCTCTCGATTTCCTCCCCCTAAATGACTCCACTTCTGTTGACTCTTATCCTCACAACTTTTAATCAGTTTATTTTCAAAAGAAGGGAGAAAAATGTTATTGTTTCAACCTGTTGTTTCTCATTCCATTATCTCTGACTCTGTTTGTATCAGGGGATTATTTAATTACTTAAATCTGTCGTGAGCCAAGACCGTCTGAAGTGTACTTGTCCATTTCTGAATGTAAACAAACGGCATAATTGTTGGCAACAAATCATGAATCGGCGGATTTTTCTCATTTATTACAAATTATGCATTTTTAGTGTTGTCATAACTGATACAAATAATTCCAAACAAAAATGTGACAAATTGCGTATTCTGCTCTGTTTAGTGTGCCTGTGTGTGTTGGAAGAAGTAATGGGGTTTGGGGGTGTTTATTTTGTCCTAGTCTGAACATCAATTTGTATCTTTATTGTCAAAGAGGTTTGCAGCTCAGTGATGACTGTGTTGTGGCAGAATTTTAGCTGTTGGAGTAGATGTTTAGCTGTTTGTTTTTGTCACTTTCAGGGAGAACCTTACACCTAACGGATCTATTTTTCCTTTTTATGTCTACATTTTGTCACTATTTGTCCTGCTGTACTTGACCACAAAGCACCTTGTGATTGTATCTTCAATATTTTATTTTTGGTAATTTTGTCAGATTAACATCTTTTGTTGTGGATTATAAAAAGTAACAGATTTGCATCATGTTTGTTTTCATTGATGTAGTCAAACTGTTTTTCGGTTTTGTTACCTTTTGCCACACGATGCAGGAGCAAAGCAACATTCTTCCTCTGAAATCCACTTCTCTTGATTACCTGCAACGTTGGCATCGTTTGTAATGGTTCATATGGTTGTTAATCTGTTTTAGCTTCTAGGAAGCTCCAAGTCTTTAGTTGTATTTAATTTGTTAGAAATAAAAGGATAAAAAAAATGAAAATTGTATTTATAGTGAAACGATTATTATTTTTTAAGAATGGAGATTAAAAATGTATTTTTCTTTTCTATGTTATTTGAAAGAGACGACTGTACAATAAGAAACAAAATTTCAATGCAAGAATTAGTGTTTTGTTCACAAAATGTTTTGGACCAAAATATAAATAACGGAAATGAAAGAAACACTCCTACACAGTATATATACTGTATAGTGGGCATTTGAGCCACTAGACAAAACGACTAAGATCATGGAGTACATTAGGAGGAAAGCCCCCGATGATGAATTGATGGGTGAATGTCTCAGGCAGCAGCAGAAACCCAACATGGAAGAGGAGCCGTCATGGAAAGATAAGCCCCTGCACAGCGTGCACCACTGACAGATTGAGGAAGTGGCTGATACAGTATCATAGTGGCTAGAGAGGATTGGACTGAAGAACCGTGCAGGGGCAATAATCTTGGCAGCACACGAACAGGCCCTCAACACTAGAGCAACAGAAGCTGGGGTCTACCTTACCAGACAAGACCCAAGATGCAGGGCTGTGCAAAGATGCCTCCGAAACAGTCCAAAACATAATAGAAGGATAAGATCCAGGTATCAAACCATACATGGAACACCACAACCAAGTGGCTGGAGTAATCGACAGGAACATCTGTGCCGAGTATGGACTGGAGGTCCCACAGTCAAAGTG